ACAGACCCTGCATTCCTCCCAACGTGGGGGGGGGGGAGAGAGAGAATCGTCTGCTCACTAGGCCCGTGAAATTGTGGAGAACTTGCCAATTTCCTCCCTGGAAACAAAGGTCTCGTCCCCCGCCCAGAACCGGGGAGAATGTTATGCCTTTTATGGCATTTGCTGGCATCGAGGGTTGCCGCCTGACAACGGACGCAAATTCAGCCGTCTCGTCCCTTCCCCAAATGCCTCTAAAAGGTGTGTGCATGGAGGGGTGACATTCCAGTACCAACCTTCCTCATCATATGCGCAGCTGCCTGCCAACCCCGTGTGCCAATGTGCTTGTTAAAGGAAATGTTGAGGTGTGTGGCTGACTCATAGTATTCGATCATATCGAACAGCGCCGAGGCACCCTGGCAAAGACAGAAAGAAGGGGGGGGAAAGAAGAAATATCATCAGCGCGGGGCAACAGATGCACCTGCTCCGGGTGTGACTTAGGCATGGCTGCGAAATGGGCCGTGTTCATCACAAATCCAGTAACAGTGGCCAAATTAATAACAGGAAAGAATTGGAAAGTCAAGTGTGATTTCCAGTTAAATGAATGGCACAAAGGACGGACGGAATATATGGAACATGGCTAGTAGTGATGAAGCTAACTTGTGAAACCAAGGTCAGAAAAGGAATGCAGCAACTTTAAGGATCTATGGAATTTATTTTTGGTATACGTTTCAGAAACACAAAGGGTATACAACTGGAGACGTACTTTTGGAAAGAAATTGAGGGGGGGGAAGATATGAAATATAATTAAAAATAAAAATGTTAACTAGGTCAAGGGTTGGGGGTTGCGCAGGGCTGATCATTGTGGCTCTGTTTTAGTTTTAAATTGATTTTTTAGTAGTATTTATTATATTTGTGGGTTTTTTAATTGTTTGGAAATTAATAAAAATTGTATCAAAAAGAAAGTAGTGTCAGACATATTAATAACAAGTTAAAATAAAGTAAGAAAAGGAGTAACCAATACAAATAGGTTTAGAGATATACGGGGAAAGTTCATCAATTTTTGTATTAACAAAGGGAAAAAGTTAGGCACCTCCACAGGAGACCATGTATTTTTGGCAGAGGAAGGGGGCCCCTTGAAGGGATGAAAATGGTGTCAGAGGGGAGCACTTTCAGTTGCATGTGTTGTTTAGCTTTTTTTATGTGTGATAGATGAATAAAATCAATATACAGTGGTGCCTTGCTTAACGAGTGCCCCTTTTAACAACGAAACCGCTTAGCGATGAAGATTTTGCGATCGAAAAAGCGATCGCATTGAGACATTTTAAATAGGAAAAAATCGCTTTGTGATGATCGGTAAGCTGTTTCGCTTACCGATTATCGCATAGCGATCTTTTTCCTACAGCTGATCGGCAGTTTCAAAATGGCCGCCGGAACAAAAACATGGCCGCCCGCTGTGTTTAGGGACAGTTTCCTCACATACTGAGCAGCGAAAATGGCCGCTGTATGGAGGATTTTCGCTTAAAGGTAAGTTTTAAGCCCAAAGGAGGGGTTTCAATGCATTCCTATGGGCTTTTTAAAATCGCTTAGCAATGCTTTTGGTTAGCAGCAATTTTTGCTGCACCGATTAACATCGCTAAGCGAGGTACCACTGTATATATTTTTAAATGACCCATGTTCACATAGCACAATGATGCCTATGGTTTCATTACATCCAAGCCTCTGCAATTTGAAGCAAGGTGTGTTTTTCAGAACAGCCGACCATGACAGGGTATCGACTGGATCAAAGTCTTACAGTCCACACCTGTCGGCCCCCACCTGGGAGGACAGACTTGGGTGTTCTTCTTCAGGGTGATTTATCCCTAGGCAAATGTGCACAGATTCAGAGGAGACGGGCAGAGCGCCATCCTTGCACTTCCTTACTGACTCTGTTTTGCAGCCTAACACAGTACAGTACATTCTGTGAATGAATATCAAAGCAAAATGTAAAGTGTGCTGCTTATATACTGCCCCACAGTGCTTAAGGCACTCCCTGGGCAGTTTACAATTTAATGATGCAGGCTACACATTAATGCCCTCTCACCAGCTGAGTGAACCTCAGGTTGGCTGCCTGGGGTTGAAGCCAAGTCATGAGGTTTTTAACCACTGTGCCACGAGGCTCCGGTTATCAGTGGGGAATAAAAACCTGATAGACACAGAAGGCTAACTGGTGAGCAGCAAGTGACCAAAACAGCCAGCAGGCTTTTGCATGCATTTCTGAGCCGCTGGAGTTTGCATTTTGAGCAATAAGAAGACGGGCAGTGTGCAAAGAGTAAAAATCAGCAACCATTAAAACGCCCAGCTGGCTGGATAGCTCAGTGGCCCACATTCCTGGTTGTGCAGCCAGAGGTTGGGAGTTCAATTCCCCACTGGGCTTTTAGGGAGAACAGCCAGCCTGTGTGGCCTTGGGCAAGCTGCACAGTCCCAGAGCAACCCCAGAAGAAGGGAATGATAAATCACTTCTCTACTTAGAAAATCCTGCAAAGGGTCGTCATAGGTCAGAACAGACTTGACAGCACGTAGTTATTCTTATTAAAAGGGCCAAAGCCACTTGAAATTCACCCGGCCACCCCAGTTGTGACCATCCACACCTACAAGGCTACCTTCCCCTTCATAAATTCAACTTTACACCAACCATAACCCTCCCCAGATGTTTGTGCCACTTTTAAGCAGCAGTTTGCAGTCAATGTCTGCAGATGCATGCAGAACAACATAATGACAACTTGGATAACACTTTCGCGGCCATATTATCATAATGTTTAAATCTGCACTGTTCTAGTTTTATAACTAAACGGCTTGCAAACTACCCTTGCCACATTTTTTTTAATTGCCAGGCTCTAATTGTGGTTTCTCGTTGTAAAATGTAATGTTGCTGTATAATAAAATATATTAAAATGAAATTTCCCAGAATGTGTTGTTTACTTCACTCGGCATGCTGCCAGATTCAGAGGTGGGTGGGAAGGAGACAGACATGGGGCATGGCCCCAGGCTGGGGGGGGGGGAAGAGGTGCTAATTGGGAGCCTGAAAAACCTGTACGTTGAGCCAGAGAAATAACCCAGAGCCGCCTTGCTGCACCATCCAACCACAAATGATTTACGTTTAGGATTAGGACTAGCTCAGCAGTAAACCTACAAGAGAAATGCTGAATATTTGAAGGCTACAGTCATATACCTGTGACACTGTTCACACAAAGAGGGAACAGCACAAGTCTGAGTTATTCTTTTCTACTTCTGCAGTTGCGATCCCCGTTGTGATCCAAGGTTTGGGGAGTCTGGGAATAGATCAAAGTTTGGACCTGATGATCTACCAATTTGGGAGGGGCTAAATTTCGGAGTCATTTTTTAAAAATTCTAGATACCGATGCCAAAATCATGGGCCATCTTGTCTTATACATGCAGGTTTGTGTACACACACATCTATGGTGGAATGAAGCGATGGGATCCTTATAGAGATGGGCATGTTCGGCCGCACGGCCTTTCTGCGGGCATCCACGGCTACCCTTGCTTCGTAGGCGCCCAATCAGAGGCAGAGGTGTGACTTCTCAGCCCCACCTTCTTCAGTGGGTGCCCAACTCAAGAGGCAGCACCTGGAGGACGTGGAATTGGGAAGCTCCACCTGCCAGAGGAGGGAACAATTCTGCGGCTGATCCGCCAAACATCTCTAAATCTTTATCAAGTGGATAACCTCAGGCTGCAGCACGGAACTCTTGAGGCATTTCAGGCATTTTGCAAACTGTAATCCAAGAAGATATGCACACCTTGGGAACAAGATTCTAATCCTGCATTCTTGCTAATGTGGCAGTTTTTCACTTTAATAGAGGATCTGCTCATTTTTTTTTTAAAAAAGGGAACATTCTGAAATAGCATAGCTCCTCTGTGTTGCGAAATGGTACACTGTGGGATTTTTACCAGGTTATTTCACTGTGTTAACTGATGTTTAGGGAAAGGAAAGTTCAGATGTTTGTTAAAGTCTGAAGACCGGGAAAGGGCTCATCACTTTATTGCTACAACCTCCAGTGGCCAGAAACAGAGCAAAATAAAATAAATAAATTTTAAAAAAAGCCTCTGTGACATACCCTGATTTTTTTGAGGTGCCTTACCAATGGGCTCTCAAAATTATGAACCCAGCATAAGCCAGGGCTGGCAATCCACCTGGGGGCAGAAATTCCAGGTAATCTGTGGAGCGAGACGTATTGGAAAATGCAAACTCGCCCCACCCCTGCCAATCATACGCTTTTGCCTACAAGAGGGTTCGGATTTCGGTCTCCAGCCATGAGCCTGAGAAAATTCCCTGGCCTGAATCCAGTCGGTAGAGCCAGCCAAAGCAGACCCACTGAATCAGTGGGATTTACACAACCACTGACTCAACCGTTCAACAATTTATTCAACTTTTTGAGATTGCTAACTGGATTTAGGGCCATGCCCAGAAATTTGCAAAGCCGTTAACTAGGGGAAGCTAGCAGGATTAGGCTAGATGGCAGCGTCCCACCACCGAAAACTGCCCAACGGATGGCAGGTTTTGACTAGTAAAAAAAAATCACAGGGCTCATCTCAGTTAACTGTTCTTATGGACAACGGAGGGAAAGAGATTCTTTATATTCTGTGCATATTACATACATCTTCATCGAGGTTTGTTTGCTCCAAGTCTACTATTTTGAACTGGAGGCGCTTAAAAATCTCTTCCAGAGCTTCACACGCTTTGTAGTCTAACTTCTCGCCTAGAAAACAAAAGACATGGAATAAGTTTGCAAACTTTCACTGGTTAAGAGACTGCACGGCAGGCACAAAGCCCACTAAATGTGGAAACAGTAGAGAACTACAAAACCCATGTGTCTCTTGTAGAACACGGGATGATGTAGGAAGAAAATGAGAGACAACTAATAGAGAGAGAGAGAGAGAGAAAGAGTTTTTTTAAAAAAAACCTTGCACTGCTACTCAGTGTTTCCGTGACCTTAATTTATTTATTTTATTTATTTATTTATTTTATTTATATGCCACCCACACTACCCAAAGGTCTCTGGGCGGCTTACAGCATTTAAAATACAATAACCTTTAACTACAAGGAGGAAATAAAAAACAAGGCCACATCAAATGTGCAACACACCGGAGGGTTTTTTCCCCGGCTGAACTAAGGTCCAAGTTGCACTAATAGTTTCATAAAGTTTCCTTTTGCAAGAGAAGGCTAACTACTGCTCTTCTGGTGTTCTGAGCTGCTCCCCCTCTGTCCATGGCCCAGCAGCAGGGCTAGTGGCTGGGGATCAAGGGAGATGCAGACCCTTTTTCAAGGCTGGGATCCAGAGAGGTCTACTGCCCAAAAGTAACTTTTTCAAGCGGTGGTGCATGTGGCCTGCTATCAGAGAAGACAAAAAAATAGAGAGCCTGGTGAATTCTATAAGGGGAAACACACACACAACTGGCTTGTGCTGACATTGACCACAAGCAGATATCTGGAGACGTTACTTATCTGGGCCATATCGCAGACAGTTGCCCAGCCACTGCGGCCACCATCGTTGGGGAAACTCTGGAAGCTACACTCCAAAAATGCTGATTGTCTCACATTAACTGAGCTCCAGAAACGACAGAGGCAGCATCTTTGACTATCAGAAACTCTGTCCTTTCCCTCACTTTGCAGTCTTCTCTAGTGGGACAGCTAGGAACGTTTAACATATGCAAGGAAAGAGGAAATCAATCAAGAGTTTTTTTGCACGGCGATTTGGTGCAGTACAGTGAATATGAAGAACACTCAAGGCCTGTTAGCCCGGGGAGGCTGCCCATTTCCCCTCTTTCTGCCTGATTGCGTTCCATCTGCTCAGCTGTCATGTGAAACCTATTTCTTTTCTACTTGGGCGACGTCCCCACCCTCCTGTGCCCAGGGGCCTGGCCATTTTCTTCTCTACCTCTAGATCAGCTTTCTCCTGGCAATAGACCTTTTTTTACAGGCAAACTTTGTACACAAACAGACAGCAAAAGACAGCAACCTGTCCATGCAGCACAAACAGGACGTGAGTTTTGCTTTGTTTGGAATAAGGGAGTCTGTGGTTAGGAGAGCAGGTGAGGGAGGAGGAGAGGTACCAGCAAGCCCAGGTAACTCTCTGGCCAAGGTTGTGTGCATGCCTGCCTCCCGGGGCAAAGATTAGATCGATGTTAGCTGTGTGTTGATTTACATGTCCCAACTCAGTTACACAACCTGGCACATTTCCACACACTGAAAAGCTTGCTTTAAGAAATTTAAATAAGGATCTCGAGAAAGAAAATTAGATCTGAATGTAAATATGAGAGCATGAGGAGAGAGAGAAAGGAGCACCGGCTGATCTGAGAAACCCTGAACCAATTCTGGAATGCCAGTTTACGCAGGTTCACAAGCAGAAACATATATCCCAGTTTAACCAGTTTGCAAAGCATTTTATGCAGAAGTGGAAACACCCTGCCCTCCAGCAGTATCGGCGATTACCCTCTGACCCCAGCAACTGTCCAAGGGACTTCTTCAACAGAGAAAGTTTTTGGGGGGTAGGTGGGTGGGGAATTGCAGCCACAGAGCAGCCACAGAACTGGAGAGATGACTCTGATTTGCACCCTGTCAAAAGACGGCTTGGAAACCTACCTTTCAGATCCAGACAATCTATCCTGGGCGTTAGGTCCTTGAATTCCTGCAAAGAGAACAGCAGCACGTTATTCTCTATGGGATGGTTTAAAGATTAGGGGCAAAGGAGAACAGGAAGGAAGAGTGCACAGACCTGGGGTACCAAATGCTTCAAATGATCCACACAGAGCCAGGCCACTCCTTTGGGACCCAGTCCAGCCTGCTTCGAGGTTCGGGAATTATCCCTGTATCTGGTCCGAGAGGACAAGCTCCCTTCCTCAGCCTCTGGATAGGTTGCACCTTAGTCCAGCTCAAGTTTTAAGACTCCCCTGCATTGTGTCTGCTTTGAACAGGGCTTTGTTGACCGAAGCTGCTAGTCCTTATTAAGAACTGGCGCTGAAAGAGTGGCATCTGGCAAGGGTCAAACTAGGGGATGGGGTGGACAAAATCTTTTGCATTCGCCTCACCTGCAACTTTAGAAGGATAAGAAAATTACTGACACAGCTCTGAGGCTTGTAGCAGCTACCTTTAATTTCCCAAAATGAAAGGAACATCTATGGCACGGTCCTAAACAGTCTGGCAATATAGCAGGCGGCAGGCTGAGAGGTGCACTGGTGAGGTCTGGCATGCTGCTACCCCCACCCCCAACAGACAAAATGCCCTTATTCTTTTGGGGCCTCAAAAGGAGAGGCTACAAAGTCACCCCATGCTAGGCTACACCTACAGAAGGGAGTCTCTACTGCTGAAAAGGAGGATCCATCAGGTGTCACATCCCCCCTAATAAGACACTAGCCATTGTGGGCGAGCGGTTAGGGAACCATGCTACAGAGCGAGCACCAATTCCATGATCTATCTGAATGTGCTGGTTTTTATCATGGCCTATGTTTTTTGGGGGCAGGCCAGAGGATCAGTGGCTAACGGTATGGTTTTGTCGAGAACTCAGGCAGAGTGGCTGCCGGTCAAGGCCAAAAACAGTGAGCTAGATGGCTCAACAATCTGATTCCGGGTAAGGTATCTTAAAAAAAGCCCCTCTGTAAGCAAATCAATGGCAAAGGGGACAACAGTTCTTTAGAACCAGCCTGTATTTTGTTCTGTCGTTGTCCTCTTGAGTTCCAGCTGTGGCCAGCTTTCTGTAGTGTCTACAAAAGCCCATCTCTCACCCCAACAATCCAATGGGATCAATGTCTGCCCCACATGCTTTCGGGAAAGGACACACCTGGATCTGCTTCAGTAGTTTGGAAATCTGCTTGCAGTTTAATTTCTGACAGGCCTGCTTGTAGGCAGTGAGAACTTCATCCACAGTCACATTCTGAGCTGAAAAAGAGAGGCAGGAGGGGAGACAGAGAGAAAGAGAGAGGGAGAGAGTGATTACTCCAACATCTGGAAACCAATCTAATCTGGATCAGCTAGACAGCATTAAAGCAACTTTTCTCAACCTGTCGCCTTCCAGGTAGGCTAGTCTCCAACTTTCAGAAGTCTACGGACATGGAGATGGGATGGGATTCTGGGAACTGTAGTCCATACTGGCACCGCCGCCGCCCCCCAGGTCTGGATTATAGGTATAAGGCAAGCATAAGGGAATTACAATACAAACCACCCTGCTCACCACCTCTTTTTCACACTTCAATCTGCAAGCAAGGCTGAAAGGGAGGCAAAAATTCATATTCCAGGGTGCTGACATTTGCTTTCTACGATTTCTCCAGCCCCGTCCAAGAGCCCAGGATTTTTTTTGCTGGTGTTAGAAAATGTAAAAATAACTGGATGATCTGCCAGAATCCTGACAGTAGTACTGCGTACGGAGATACAAAAGTGGCCACTTCAGTCCACACTGTAAAATCTGGTCCAGCTGCAGAACCCAGATTGTTAAGCATATGATACTGGACTCTCACCTCTGAAACTGACCTGCTTACACATCACGTACACACATAGTGCTTCACACACACGCAGTCCATTTCATTTCAGATGTTCCTTACCAGTGCTTCACGTATAGTGTTCATTAGTGTCCCCTGTTGTGTCTGATGTGTGGGTTACTGGTCTGATGTGTTTCGTTCCGTGAAAATCGCCTCAAGCTTTGACACAACATAATTGGTGTGCCAAAACAAACAACAGCTTGCTATCTCAAATTTCTTCAGTTTTGTTATATTTCTCTATATGGTTTTGCATTAAAATCCAGAAAATCCCAGTAAAATGCTTCTGGTGCTATTGATATCACTTCTGGAGTAATGCTAGGATCCTAGGAAGTTTTTATTGTTGTTATTGCTGTTATTTTTTATTTTTACAGTTCTAAAGGAAGGTGGATATTTAGAAACAAATGTAACTTATTATCCATCTGACTGTAACCATGTATAAATTCCATGTGGAAACATATACAAACCTCCAGATGGAGATACATAATAACATACTAAATTGAGGCATTTAGTAGAACACAGTGACCTTACTAGAGCAATAAAACTGTTCACAACAGGTACATAGTTTCCATTGTTTTTGGAGAAACCAGGGTGCTTTGAAACTTCCTTGGAAAAACTTAACAAAATAAAATACTTGGGGAACCTTTTTCACTACAAAAGGAGAGCAATGACATTTTTGCAGTTCTCTGATGCCTTTGGCTCAAGGTAAAAGCATGGTTATCTTTCATACTAACTGAAGATGCAAGAGCTAGATTGTAAACTGCTCTCAAAAGTCTCTTTGGTTTTAACAGTAAGCTCCATTTAAAATAAAAACACACAGAGAGAATCAATAGATGGACTCTAAGCATTCTAGTCTAGAAGATTATTATTATGCCCTTAAAGCTACCGAGGGAGTCTGTACCTGGGGAAGGAGATGAATTTTGGAATGCTCTTCTGATGGAGAGCTAGCTAAACTACAGTGGTGCTCCGCAAGACGATGTTAATTCGTTCCGTGAAAATCGCTGTTTTGCGAAAACATTGTCTTGCAAAATGCATCTCCCCATTGGAATGCATTGAAATCCGTTTAATGTGTTCTAATGGAAACAAATCGTTGTCGTTTTGCGAAAATTGCCCATAGGAAAACCGTTTTGCAAAGTGCGGATCAGCTGTTAAAATAGGTGTCTTGTGAAAATCGGTCCCGGAAAAAAAGGGAAAAAAACTTGTCTTTTTTTTTTTTTTTAATTTATTCTTTATTTAGGAACAGGGATAGAGGGTACAGAAAACTTGTCTTGTGAAGCACGGACCGAAACATCGTCCAGCAAAAAACGCCCATAGGAAACACCGTTTTGCGAAGCGCTATAGCAGAACGCCTGTTGCAAAACAAGAACGATTAGGCAAATATGTATGATTTGTACATCTTAAAGAACCGAACTCTTCTCGAGGCAGAAGCAAGGCAATGCAGTGTAGAATAAGGGGTTAAGGCATAGTATGCACAAGCTGGGTTATTATTGTCAGTATGAGCAACAAAGATTCTTTTGGCACCTTAAAGATTAACAAGTCTTAGTTTGCATACTTTCATGAATGGCAGTCCACTCCTTTAGATGCGTGCTGTCTACAAATGCTTGTGCCAAACAAACACGGTAAAATCTGTTTTGTAACAGACTAACATGACTATTCCCCGAGAGATCTGTCAATATGAACCGGTATCTTCAGATGTGTGCTGTCTACAAATGTTTGTGCCAAACAAACACAGTAAAATCTTTTTGTAACAGACTAACACGACTACTCCCTGAGAGATCTGTCAATATGAACCGGTATCTTCCTTGCTTTGTCTGCCTTTCACCTCCCCTGACCTTTTTTCCCTTCCTTAAGAAGGCCATTTCTTGGGCAGACATCAATTACTGGCCTATTATCCAGGCAAGAGATTCTGGCGTCCCTTTAAAAGCTGCTTGCCAAGCATCTTTCGGCAGACAGAAATATTCTCAGAAACCCAGGATTAAGCAGCATCAAATTTGCGGTTGACTACGAAGCCCCGGCCCTGGCACACAGACGGATAAAAGGCATTAAACACACAGAGAAAATCAAACAGACGGGAGGCCAAACGGGAAAGCTCCAGGAGCGGCTGCTGAACAAGCGGGTCGGCATTACAAAACCCCGACTCTGTTGTACAAGGATCCAGTTACAAGGTTGTAATCTGACCTGGATTACGGAAGTGGAATGATCTAACATTGGGGGGGGGGGAGGCGGAAGGGAGAGGTTGAAAAAGGATAATTCTGCTGCTAACGCAATTATTACGAAAAACTAGAGATTTCCAAGCCCCTACAGATGCTGCAGACTTCTCTTTTAATTGCATTTATGTGCGAACGGCTCATTTAGAGAAAAAGGGGTAGGGGAGATAATCCTTTTGCTTGGCTTACAAATTCTGTTCAGGGGGAGAAGACAAAGAATTACAAAGATCCCCCATTTTGTGAATTTTAGGACAAGAATTTTGCCACACTTTTCAAAAAAAAGTGAAACTCTTAAATCAGCAGCTTATTTCAATGTGATCTTTTAAAATGAATTATGTTTTAAGGTTGTTTAATGTTCAGTGTTGAAACCCAGGCTGTCCTATCTGGGGCAGATCTTGAGAAGGCAGGATTGTTTGGAAAAGACCGTAACACTGGGAAAGGTAGAAAGCAGCAGGAAATGAGGAAGGCCAAGCATGAGATGGATTGACTCCTTAAAAGAAACCACAGGCTTGAGTTCACAAAAGTTGAGCAGGGCAGTTGGGGACGGGACATTTGAGAGATCGCTCATTCACGGGGCCACCCTGAGTCAGAGGTGACATGATGGCACATAACTATTTTAAGATATGTCTACAAGGTCCAATACTTAATAGGTTAATAATAGTGCTTTGAAGCAAATAAGCTTTTTGCCTTTTGAAAATAAGGAACAGCGGCCTAAGGAATATGTAATGTGAGGTTTTGGTGGCTTCCTCCCATGCAAACAGAAAGCATAAATTCAACCTAGAAACCTACAAATGGATTTCGGCAAACACAGACACCACGCAAAGTTCAGCTACGAAGAGTGTGAGTAAAAACCCATTTCGGACTTGCATGGCATACGGCTGAATAGAGAAAGGAGCCAGGACTTTCTAGAATAACAGGAAGCCACACACCGAGCCCTTCGCTAACACAGACCAGTTCAGATACGACAGGCAAAAGAAAAGGAGAGCGGGACTCCGCCAACTTTTACAGCGGGGTTGGGAAGAGATTTCAGCAGGCACAGCTGTTTTTTCTGAAAGAAAGATGATGTTCCTGCTGAAATTCCATTTTCTACCTGACTTTCGGCAACAGAGAAGTTTGACGGTTCACAGCTTCTAGGCCAGAAGGGCTGTAACTTCCCAGTTACAGATTTCCAAGAACCATCCTTTTTTTAAAAAAAGAAAAAGAAAAGAAAGAGCTGAACACAATTTCACAACCACTTTTTCTAGGGCTTGCAGTGTGCCAAGAAGCAACCGGAGAAGGGTTCACATGCATGCACAGACTCAAACCTCACAGCGTCATTAATAAGGGGAATATGAGGTACGTGGCTGGCCAGCAACCTCTTTAATGTTGAGTCACTTGATATTTTTACTCTTGGGAGAGGCTCTCCATTCCGAGTTCTTTGTTCAGTAGAAAGAAAATTAACTCCTGTTTTGTTTTGGTCCAGAAGATAAGGACAGGAGGATCTAACTCTCCCACTTCGGGGAAGTTCAAAGTTTTAAAACCAAGTCCAGAAATTTCATGCCAGCAGATGGATTTCGCTCCACAGGATTTGTTGCTGTTTATATGCCACCACATCATTTCAGACTTGGCGGCCCCATTAGAGGCATAGGATAAAGGTTTTACCATCACTACTATCACTATCGCCGCCACCATCCCTGTGAGTTTTCACGGATGAATGGGAATTTCAACCGAGATGTCCACACTTGTTCAGGGGGAGAGAACGAGCGACTTGCCCACCCTAGAAACCTCAAAACCCTACTCACTTTGGGCTAGTCATCCTGGCACTTAAGGGGAGAATCTAAGTGGTGCCCACACTAGCCTTCTCTGACCATGTGTTCTCGGATCATGTGTTCTGGTGGACTTCCCCAAGACAAATCCATAGACTGAGGTACACAGCTTAGTGCTAAAGAAGATTCATCTGATTTATATTTACATTCCCTCTCAACCACATTGAGATAACATGATGTCACTTCTGGATCCTCACATGACTTCCATTTTTGCACAATAGAACGCAAGGACCCTTTGAAGAAAACAGCTGCGAAGTGCAACCACCAGACTACAACATTAAGCAACTTACAACTCATTGCCCTTTGAAGGATCCCAAAATTCGGCGCCTGAGGGCAGTGGCCTCATTCCTGTTCACGCTGAGTCTTTAGTCACTCTGGATGCTTAAACAACATGT